GTCTCTCTCTGTCGCCCAGGCTGGAGTGCAGTGGCATGGTCTTGGCTCACTCCAGCCTCCACCTCCCGGATTCAAGTGATTCTCCTGCCTCAGCCTCCCGAGTAGCTGTGATTACAGGCAACTACCACCATGCCGGCTAATTTTCATATTTTTAGTAGAGACGGAGTTTCGCTATGTTGGCCAGGCTGGTCTCAAACTCCTGACCTCAGGTGATCTGCCCGCCACTTCCACCCAAAGTGCTAGAATTACATGTGTGAGCCACCGTGTCCAGTCAGTCCACAGATTTTTTTTAAACTGTTATCTTTAGTAATAAATTCAAACATACTCTGTATTTTTGTTTTAGAAAGACGATCTTCTGGAGCCACAAGAACAGCTTCCCCCACCTCCTTTACCACCTCCTGTTTCCCAGGTTGATGCTGCTATTGGATTACTAATGCCACCTCTTCAGACCCCTGTTAATCTCTCAGTTTTCTGTGACCACAACTATACTGTGGAGGATACAATGCACCAGCGGAAAAGGATTCATCAACTAGAACAGCAAGTTGAAAAACTCAGAAAAAAGCTCAAGACCGCACAGCAGCGATGTAGAAGGCAAGAACGGCAGCTTGAAAAATTGAAGGAGGTTGTTCACTTCCAGAAAGAGAAAGATGACGTATCAGAAAGAGGTTATGTGATTCTACCAAATGACTACTTTGAAATAGTCGAAGTACCAGCATAATAAAATGAAATGTGTATTGATTTCTAATGGGGCAATACCACATATCCTCTTCTAGCCTGTAGAGGAGTTTCATTTAAAAAAAAAATAACACTTGTTACTTACATAAAAACAGTTCAGAATATTTTTTTAAAAAGAATTCGATATATACTGTAAAATTAAAAATTTTTGTTTGTAGTTTCAGGTTTTTTACATTTTAACAAAATATTTTAAAAGTTATAAGCTAACCTCAGACCTCTAAGTTGGTTTCAAGATTGGAGTTTTTTTTTTTTTTTTTTTTTTTTTTTTTAGTATTTATAGAAATAATGTAAAAATAAAAAGTGTAAAGAGAATGAGAACAGTGCAGTAAAGGGGTGATTTAAGTTTAAAACTTAATACTGTTTTATTGAGAGAACTAGTTATATTTTAAATCAGAAGTATGGGTCAGATCATGAGACATAACTTCTCAGAATATATGTATATGTACATATTCTCATATGTAAAGTCACAGGGTTCATTTATCTTTTTGAATCAGTTATCAAGGATAAAAGGATAAACTGGCAAGTCAGTACCTAAAAAAGAAAAAAAAATTATTGTCTACACAGCAGAAAAGAGTCCTTCCATATCAGAGTGGATTTTTTTTTAAATGGGCTCCTATTTTTTCTCCTACTGTCTAGCATTATAAAATTAGAAGTGTATTTTCAATGGAAAAAACATTCTTCAATAACTAAGTAAGGCATTGTTATCAGTGAAGTAATAAAACTGAGGCCTGATCTATGATAAGCTTTTTTCTAGGATACTCAGTTCCCCAACTATAGTTACAGATCTGCTTCAAGTCTCTGACAAATGTGTTGTGTTAGTAGAGTTTGATTTGTATCATATGATAATCTTGCACTTGACTGATTTGGGGCAAGGCTTCACATAAAAAAATTATTTCTTCACGTTTAACACAAGTTAGAAATTATATCCCATTTACTTAAATGAGTGATTTATATTCAAAAGCAACCTACTATGTAGTGTTTATTTTACTGAATGTTGAGATTTAAACACTGAGATTTCTGTTCAAACTGTGAGTTGTGTTCTGACTTTGTGAGAAATTTTACACATATTTGAAATGAAAATATGTTCCGAGTAAACAAATATTGCTATAGGAGTTATCTATTTAGATTTAGAATTACTGTTCCAATGATAATTATTACTTCTATATTTCAAAGTACACTAAGATAGTTGAAGAGTAATAGACCCTTTAAGACAGTATTAAAGGTGTGAAACAATGACGTTCAAAGTGTCTTTTGTAGAACTGGTTTTCATTGTAATTCACTGCCATGCTGCCAGTGGATAGCACTGTGATTCATGGAGATTTGATGTTTTAAGAACCAGTATCTCAAATATAGAAATAATGATCAGAAAATTACTTGAAGTTACAGAGTCTGATAACATCATTTAGCACTAAAGCTAATCAATTGGAAGACTTTTACAGGTTATTCATGGAACTCATAACTGTTTTTAGAAGATACAATTCAAGAAGTTTGGTTTTATAAGTCATCTTTCTAGCAATTCCTGGAAAGTATTCAGGAATATTTAGGTTTATTCCTAAATATCTTGAAAAGTATATACCTTCAACCTAAATACTCTTCTACATGAAAGACAAATACTGTGTGTGTGTCCCAGAACGAAGAATCCAGGTTAGATTATAAAAATGGAAATCATAATTACTTAGCATCTTAGCATTATTATTTAACCTCAAGCTACTTTCTTTTCACAACAGACAAATCCCCATGTGGAGAGAACTGAGCAAGCAGCATGTATAGAAACTGCTTTTATTTAAATAATTTATAGTAGTTAAACAGAAGTTTGAGGTGCAGGTGCTTATTTCTGAATTGTCTATTGTATTGTTTAAAACATTGCCAAGAAAAGGTAAAAATGGGTTCTGTTCAGGCATGGTGAAACAGTCTGACATAGATACAGGGATAATCTTTTAATGCTGCCTTATAATGCAAGTATAAAGGTCACTTGAAATGCTACTTGGCTTGAATTATCACATTCCAATTGAAGTTTTAAGTTTTTAAAAAGTAATTTAAATGTTTACTAATTGTATACCAGTTATATGTACTGAAAATAATTCTGTTGTTGCAGTGAGAACACAGCAAAACTTTGTACTTGGAAATCCAAGTACTGGGGATTTTTTTTTTCTTTCAACTGTAATTTATATGATCTCTTTCTTAGAAGTATAATAATAATGGTGATGGCAAATGAAAGTTTTACATGACAGGGGCTTTTTAGCTTGCATTAATATTTTGTAACCATCTTTTAGTACTAAAAAAGTATACATGTGTTGCCAGGCGTGGTGGCTCATGCCTGTAATCCCAGCACTTTGGGAGGCAGAGGTGGGCAGCTCACCTGAGGTCAGGAGTTCGAGACCAGCCTGGCCAATACAGTGAAACCCTGTCTCTACTAAAAATATAAAAATTTAGCCAGGCGTGGTAGTGAATGCCTATAGTCCCAGCTGCTCCGGAGGCTGAGGCAGGAGAATCGCTTGAACCTGGGAGGCAGAGGTTGCAGTGAGCCAAGATGGTAACACTGCACCCAGACTGGGCAACAAAATACATATATATATACATGTGTACACATACCCAACATATAGCTTTTGTAAAGTTGGGAAGAAGCAATATAATATATTTTAAAATCCATTTGAGTTCAGAATTTTAAAAAGATAGTCCACTCTGAATAGCATTTAAAGAAAAAGAATAGATTTTCTTGCTTTGTTAATACTCTTCCTGTGATTTGGATGAGTAATGTATGTTGGATGACCAGTAAGTGAAGAACATTGCTCTTGGCTGATGGTAACTAGTGTTGCTTGGCATTATGATTTTATATAGTCTTGTGTTTTAAAGTACAATCACTCACATGAAAGAAAAAGATGGAAGAGGAAACAACAGTGCTTTGGAAATAAGCAGAACTATTATACTTAAAAGTTATTGAAAAATTTGCTCCAGGTAACGTTCTCTTACAATTCTATGTCTTTTTAAACCTTCATTATAGCTTTATTCTACTGAGATTTTTCTAAATGATAAATATTTTTTAAATTAAAAATCTGTTGAATTTTTATTTGTTCTCTTCAAATTCACAGTATTTTATGTCTTGAGATTATATAAATTTTATTTTTAAAATATCCTAAGGGATACAAATAAACTATTGTTTTAGTTTTTGGTGAGGTAAACTATAGAATACAAACAAGAATTTAATAGAAAAATGACTTCCAGAGTGTGCTGGCAAGAAAAAATATTTTTAAAAATAACCATTTAAAATCTCTGCAAATTGTCCTAAGGGAATGTAGCAAATGAAATAAGGAAAGTGTAGTAAATCTCCATAAGAACATTGAGTCTGTGGCATCATAGACCCATTTTCTCCCTAACCAAACCCGCTATCCCAACTTAGTGCTATAGAAGTTCTACTCTGAAGCTCCATTCAATCTTCTTGGATGTGATCAAGAAGATGGTACTCCCTCAACTCCCAATCAAGGACTGTGGTATCTTCCAGGGAGGGGCTGGTCGCCACTATTCTCATGTCCTAGCTTTGTGTGGCAGAGACTAAATTCCAGGAGTGTCCAGCCAAAAGGTCAGGGACTCCCTACCCCCAACTTCCACTCAAGGTGGAGGCTCTACCATAGGTATGGCAGGCCAACACACAGGGTCTTTGATCACCCTCTCCATACCTCACTCAAGGTGGATTTTCTATGCCAGGAGAAGTAAGCCAAGGAAGACCAAGGGCTCTTGTCTCAACTGAGCTCATAAAGTAGGCATGTAACTCCCAGAGAGGCAGGCCACTGTCCTCACTCCTGACTCCAGAGCAATGGCTCAGATTTTCCCAAGGGAGATGCAGGTTATAAGAACAGAGAGCTCTGAAGCTATTTGCAAAGGAAATGACAATTTGGAACAGTGTGGGAAAGTTCAAGCCTAAGGATGCTCTCGAAAACAGTGGAGAATTGAGTGGTAAGCAAAAGAGGAAGTTAGTAGCTTCACAACAGCCAAATTCTAGGCTAGTAATTTACCAGAGAGCACCAGAGAAAGACCCAGCTAAGAAGGGCCCTCCTGGGGTCAGATCAGATCTCAAAAACTAGCCTCAAAAAAATAACCCCTGCAAAGGGGCCCAAATTTAATAGGATCACAGTGTGGAGCAATTCATGTGTCGGCATTGTCAAAAACAATAGGGCAATCAGCTGGAAATTGGAGGCTAACAGCTGAGTGTAATACCAACAAAGGCAGTTAGGAAAACAAGCAGTCAAAGGCAGTCCTGCTGAAAATACTGTTTTGTTTTGTTTTGTGAGATGGAGTCTCGCTTTGTAGCCCAGGCTGAAGTGCCCTGGTGTGATCTTGGCTCACTGCAACCTCCACCTCCCAGGTTCAAATGATTCTCCTGAATTACCCTCCTGAGTAGTTGGGATTACAGGTGGGCACCACCATGCCCAGCTAATTTTTGTGTTTTTAGTAGAAATGGGGTTTCACCGTGTTGGCCATGCTGGTCTTGAACTCCTGACCTTCTGATCCTCCCGCCTCAGCCTCCCAAAGTGCTGGGATTACAGGCATGAGCCACCAGGCCCAACCAAAACTACTATTATACCTGGTGACTGTGTATACCTAAAGCGGCACCTTTTAAGGAATGAAATTAGAGACTTCACACTGAAGAAGACATAAACAGCCAAGTAATGAAATAAAGGTGCAAACAGGGCCAGGCACAGTGGCATATGCCTGAAATCCCAGCACTTTGGGAGGCTGAGATGAGCAGATTGCTTTAACTCAAAAGTTTAATACCAGCCTGGGCAACATGGTGGAAACCCATCTCTTAAAAAAAAAAAAAACTGACCGGGCACAGTGGCTCACGCCTGTAATTCCAGCACTTTGGGAGGCCAAGGCAGGTGGATCATGAGGTCAGGAGATAGAAAACATCCTGGTCAGAAAGAGAAGAAAAAAAAAAAGAGAAAAAAAAGGAAAAAGAAGAAAAAAAAAGAAAACATCCTGGTCAACATGGTGAAACCCCGTCTCTACTAAAAATACAAAAAATTTAGCTGGGCGTGGTGGCGCACGCTTGTAGTCCCAACTACTTGGGAAGCTGAAATAGAATTGCTTGAACCGAGGATATGGAAGTGGCAGTGAGCTGAGATCATGCCACTGCACTACAGCCTGGGCAACAGTGCCAGATTCTGTCTCCAAAAAAATAAAAATAAAAATTAGTTAGGTGTGGTGGCATGTGCCTGTCGTCCCAGCTACTCAAGCAGCTGCAGTGGGCAGATGACTAAGTCTGAGAGGTCAAGGCTGGAGTGAGCCAAGATCACACCACTGCACTCTGGCCTGGGTAACAGTCAGACCCGTTTCAAAAATAAGGAGCAAGCAATGATAGCAAGCCTCAGGGAATGAGGGTGAGTGGGTGGCTGGAATCAGTGTCTAGACGTCCTATAGTATGTGATCTAAAACATCCAGTTTTCAAAAAAAAGTTATGAGATGTGCAGAGAAAAAGGAAAATGTTTCATACACGGGGGGAAAAATGCTTGCACCAGAAATAGTCTGTGAGATGGCCAGATGCCAGACTTAATAAGGATTTTAATAAAAACAGCCATTATAAGGACATTCAAAAGAACTAATGGAAACCATGCCTAAAGAGGCAAAGGAAGGGATGATGACAATATCTCAACAAAAAGAAAATATCGAGGAGATACAAACAGAAAAGAACTAAATGGAAATTCGGGAGTTGTGCAATATCAGAATGAAAAATTCACTAAAGAAGCTCAACAGTAGTTCAAGCTGGCAGAAGAAAAATCAGTGAACCTGAGGTACAGATCATGCTATCTGAAAAACAGAAAAAAAAAAAGAATGAAGAAAAATGAACCGAAGCCCAGAGAAATATGGGACACCATTAAACCCACCAAATATGCATAATGAGAGTACTAGAAGACGAGGGGCAGGGGAGAGCAGGAAAATATTTGAAGAAGTAATGACTAGAAATTTCTCAAGTTTGATGAAAAAGCACACATTCAAGAAGCTTAATAAAGACCAAGTCGAATGAATGCAGAGATCTACTCCCAGACATAATAGTAAAAAATGCTGAAACAATTCAAAAGTAGTTAACAGAAAAATGACTAGTTACAAGGGCAACAAGATTAACAGCTGATGTTCTCATTAGAAAAAATGGAGGACAAAAGGCAGTGGATGGCATATTCAAGGTGCTGAAGGGAAAACTCAATCAAGAATCTTATAGGTAGCTAAATTATCTTTCAAACATGAAGTTAAAGGGATCTGATTCTGGGAAGATGGCAGAGTAGGAAGCACTGGAAATCTGTCTCACTGCCTAAATGAGACTGGCAAAATTTGATGTAACTATTTTGGAACTCGAGTCTATTGAAGGCTTGCAACTTGTAGGGGTAAGGTTTGGATTACAAACTGGGATTAATTTTGGTCAATATCAGCTCTTGGCCTGGTGGCAGTTACCCATCTTCCATCCCCAGCCCCATGGCAGGAGTGTACAAGCTACAGGAGCAGCTTGCATGTGACTTGACTTACGGAAGCCAAGGTGGGCAATATCCAAAATCCAAATATCAGGATTAATGTCTGATCACTGATTGCTGCTCTGATCATGGAGATGCAAACACAGGTGAACAGCCATTGTTACATCCACCCCACGGACAGTTGCAAGCCCCTTCTCCTTTAGCTAAAGCAACTTCCAAGGAAGTTAAATGGTTGGTGTCTTCCCCTCACCCCCTTCGTTTTTCTCTTTTTCCCCTTTTGAGAGCCAGGCATTAAAGACCAGGGCATTAGAAAACAATTATACATATGAGGGGGAATTAGAAAGTCACTGTGCTTACTTAGAGAAGTGTGAAGGTTCAGAAAAGACCTGATATGTTAAATTTACACCTCAGGCTAATCCTTGCCACAGAGACAGCCTAACACCATAAAAGCCAAAACAAGACAAAAATAACAACAAACCTTGGAGAGGGGAGAGAACCTAATTTCCAGGGTTTACCACATCATAAGATTCAAATGTCCAGTTTTCAACAAAAATTACAAGGCATACAAACAGGAAAGTATGACCCATTCAAAGGGAAAAGATAAACCAACAGCAACTATCACTTAGAAGGCCCATGTGGCATACCTATTAAACAAAAATATTAAAATAATTTCATTAAAGATACATAGAGGAAGTATCTTTAATGGAAGAAACTCAAGAAAATGATGTATGAACAAAATGGAAATATCAATGAAGAAATAGAAAACCTTGGCCTATTAGTCTAAATCTTTATTAGTCTAAAGGCTAGTATTATTGTAACTTTGGTTTGTAACTTCACATATTTTCTATATAAGAGACTAATGCATTAAAAATAATTATGAGTTTAGGCCGGGCGCGGTGGCTCAAGCCTGTAATCCCAGCACTTTGGGAGGCCGAGACGGGTGGATCACGAGGTGGAGAGATTGAGTCAATCCCGGTCAACATGGTGAAACCCCGTCTCTACTAAAAATACAAAAAATTAGCTGGGCATGGTGGCGCATGCCTATAATTCCAGCTACTTGGGAGGCTGAGGCAGGAGAATTGCCTGAACCCAGGAGGCGGAGGTTGCGGTGAGCCGAGATCACGCCATTGCACTCCAGCCTGGGTAACAAGAGCGAAACTCCGTCTCAAAAAATAATAATAATAATAATAAATAATAATTATGAGTTTTTATTTTTGGACACACAATGTATAAAGATGTAATTTTGAAATATCAATAAATGAGAGGGGATGTTATGGTAACAGTTTTTGTATGGATTAAAGTTAAGCTGGCATAAATCAAATTACAATGTTATAACCGTACAATGTGAAGTGTAATCCCCATGGCAACCACAAAGAAAATAGTTATAGAATTATACACAAGAGAAAATGAGAAAAGAATTAAAATATTTCACTATAAAAAAATCCACTGAACACCAAAGAAAATTCTAATGCAGGAAGTAAGGGACAAAAAAAGCTGTAAGGCATTTATAAAACAAAGGGTGAAATGTCAGAAGTAGGTCCCTCCTTGTCAATAATTACTTAAATGTATTGGATTAAACTTTCCAATCAAGAGACAGAGATTGGAGGAATGGATTTAAAAAAAAAAAGAACAAGACCCAGCCAGGCATGGTGGCTCATGTCTATAATCCCAACGCTTTGGGAGGCTGAGGCAGGTGGATCACCTGAGGTCAGGAGTGGAGACCAGCCTGGTCAACATGGTGAAACCCTGTCTCTACTAAAATACAAAAATTAGCTGGGCATGGTGGCAGTTACCTGTAATCCCAGCTACTCCAAGGCTGAGGTAGGAGAATTATTTGAACCTGGGAGGGTTGCAGTGAGCCAAGATCATGCCTTTGCACTCCAGCCTGGGCGATGAGGAAAACTCCATCTCAAAAAAAAAAAGAACAAGACCAACTATATGCTACCTGTAAGAGACTCATGTTAGGTCCAAAGACACAAACAGGTTAAAAGTGAAAGGATGGAAAAAGATATTTCATAGAAATAGTAATCAAAATGAGCTGGGGTGGCTGTATTAACAGAAGACAATGTAGAATTTAAATCAAAAAGTTACAAGAGACAAAGCAGGCATTATATATTAATTAACAAGTTTAATAGCAAAAGACATAGCAATTATAAACATTTTTGCACCTAATAACAGATCACCAAAGTACATGAAACAAAAATTGGCAGAATTAAAAGGAGAAATAGACTACAAAAAATGATCTACAAAAATGAAGATTAAATAGAAACATTCTCAGAAAAATAAAAACAGAATCTGTTGCTAGCCAACCTACATTAAAATAAAACACTGGAGGAAGCTCTTCAGGCTGAAAGCGAGTGACACCTAACAGTAATCCAAAAAAAAAACAAAGATTGCCAGTAAAGATAATTATACGTAATTATAAAAGACACATAACTGCATCTTTTTTCTTAACTTATTTAAAAGCAACTGCAAAAACTATGTATATAATTTTAGTGTTAGGCCTGTAATATAATGTAATATGTTTGATCATAAGAAGTGGATGAGAAGCAAGCTGTAGTAAAATAAAGAAATAACATCAGATGAGAACTTAAATCTATAGGAAGAAATGTGGAGAAACATAATAAATCACAGATTAAACTATACATACTTGCTCATCCTTTTTTTTTTTTTTTTTTTGAGACGGAGTTTTTCGCTCTTGTTACCCAGGCTGGAGTGCAATGGCGTGATCTCGGCTCACCGCAACCTCTGCCTCCTGGGTTCAGGCAATTCTCCTGCCTCAGCCTCCTGAGTAGCTGGGATTACAGGCACGCACCACCATGCCCAGCTAATTTTTTGTATATTTAGTAGAGTCGGGGTTTCACCATGTTGACCAGGATGGTCTTGATCTCTTGACCTCATGATCCACCCGCCTTGGCCTCCTAAAGTGCTGGGATTACAGGCGTGAGCCACCAGGCTCGGCCTGCTCATCCTTTTTTTGAGCTTCCTTAGAAGATATAAAATAATTACAATAATAACTATAAAAATGCATTACTGGTTTGTAACATGTATATCAGTAATATTACAAAATGGGATAAGAGGTAATAGAACTATATACAGCAAAATATCTCACTGGTAAGTTGAAGTAAATTATTATTTTTTTTTGTATTACTTGATTTTATTTTACTGAAGTAAATTATAATAAGCTATATATGATAAGCCCTATAGCAACCTCTTAGAAAATAAGTCTAAAGTGTGGTGAAGAACATCATTAAAATAATTAAAATCTTAAACTAGAAATGTTAATGTAAAAGAAAGCAGTGAAGGAGGACTAGAGAAATAAAACATGAGGCATAGAAAATAAAAGGCAAAATGGCAGAGGTAAATTCAGCTATCCCAATCATAGCATCTAATGCTAATGTGAACTGATCTAATCAAAGGGCAGAAATTGTCAGACTGGATAAGAAAAACAAATTCCAATTATATGCTGTCTGCAGGAGACACACTTTAACCTTGTGATAAAAATATGTTGAGAATAAAAAGATGGGGCCGGGCACGGTGGCTCACACCTGTAATCCCAGCACTTTGGGAGACCGAGGCGGGTGGATCATGAGGTAAGGAGTTCAAGACCAGACTGGCCAACATGGTGAAACCCCATCTCTACTAAAAATTACAAAAATTCACTGGGCATGGTGGCTCATGCCTATAATCACAGCTACCTGGGAGGCTGAGGTAGGAGAATTGCTTGAACTAGGACCAGGGAGGTGGAGGTTGCAGTGAGCCGAGATTGAGCCATTGCACTCCAGCCTCGGCTACAGAGAGAGACTCCATCTCAAAAAAAAAAGAAAAGAAAGAAAATAAAAAGATGGCCAGAGCAGTGGCTCACGCCTATAATCCACGCACTTTGGGAGGCTGAGGCGGGCAGATCACAAGGTCAGGAATTCAAGACCACCCTGGCCAACATGGTGAGACCCTGTCTCTACTAAAAATACAAAAATTAGCTGGGCTTGATGGCACATGCCTGTAATCCCAGCTACTCAGGAGGCGGAGGCAGGAGAATTGTTTCAATTGGGACCCAGGAGGCAGAGGTTGCAGTGAGCTGAGATCACACCACTGCACTCCAGCCCAGGCAACGGAGCAAGATTCTGTCTTAAACAAACAAACAAAAAAGTAAACAAGCAAGGAACACGGAAGAGCATGTTTTCTCATACAGGTAGTTCTAAATTTTGAGACTCTGTGTCAAAAATTAATTAAATAAATAAATAAAATGTTATTCCATATAAAGGGAATTTTGTAAAGATAACAGAATCAATCTCTCAGGAATATACAAGAATTATAAACATATATGCAACTAACAATGAAGCCCTAAAATACATGAAGCAAAAACTATATATATAATTTTAGTGTTACAAACCAAAATTCTGGTTAATTTTGTACATTGGAGGTTCTAAAAACAGAAGAGCCTGTAATCCCAGCACTTTGGGAGGTCGAGGCGGGTGGATCACGGGGTGAAGTGATTGAGACCATCCTGGTCAACACGGTGAAACCCCGTCTCTACTAAATATACAAAAAATTAGCTGGGCATGGTGGTGCGTGCCTGTAATCCCAGCTACTCAGGAGGCTGAGGCAGGAGAATTGCCTGAACCCAGGAGGCGGAGGTTGCAGTGAGCCGAGATCGAGCCATTGCAGCCTGACCAGAAAACCTGTACCCTCAAACATCATGCCTCCCCTAAAGAGTAAAGAAAGAAAAAGGTCTCATTTCTAGATGCTAGACCAAGTTTGTCCAACTCGAAGCCTGCAGGCCACATGCAGCCTAGGACAGCTTTAAAAGTGGCCCAACACAAATTCATAAACTTTTTTTCGTTGTTGTTTTGAGACAAATTCTTGCTCTGCCGCCCATGCTGGAGTGCAGTGGCGTGGTCACAGCTCACTGCAAGCTCCACCTCCCAGGTTCAAGTGATTCTCCTGCCTCAGCCTCCCGAGTAGCTGGGATTACAGGCATCCGCCACCACCCCCAGCTAATTTTTGTATTTTTAGTAGAGAAGGGATTTCACCACATTGGCCAGATTGGTCTCAAACTACTGACCACAGGTGATCTGCCCACTTCAGCCTCCCAGAGTGCTAGGATTACAGGCGTGAGCCACTGCTCCCAGCCCATACACTTTAAAACATTTTTTTTTTTTGAGATGGAGTCTTGCTCTGACGTCCAGGCTGGAGTGTAGTGGCACGATCTTGGCTCATTGCAACCTCTACCTCCCAGGTTCAAGCAATTCTCCTACTTCAGCCTCCTGAGTAGCTGGGATTACAGATGCCTGCCACCACATCCAGCTAATTTTTGTATTTTTAGTAGAGATGGGTTTTCACCATGTTGGCCAGGCTGGTCTCAAACTCCTGAGCTCAAGTGATCCACCCACCTCAGCCTCTCAAAGTGCTGGGATTACAGGCATGAGCCACCACGCCTGGCCGTGTTAGTGTATTTTATGTGTGGCTCAATTCTTCTTCCAATGTTCCCCAGGGAAGCCAAAAGATTGGACACCCTTGGCCAGGCTCAATGGCTCATGATGTAATCCCAGCACTTTGGGAGGCCAAGGCGGGCAAATCACAAGGTCAGGAGTTCAAGACCAGCTTGACAAACAGCGAAACCCTGTCTCTACTAAGAATAAAGAAATTAGTTGGGTGTGGTGGCACACGCCTGTAATGCCAGCTACTTGGGAGGCTGAGGCAGGAGAATAGCTTGAACCCTGGAGGGGGAGGTTGCAGTGACCGAGTTTGAGCTGCTGCACTCCAGCCTGGGTAACAAGAGCAAGACTCTGTCTCAAAAAAAAAAGACTGGACACGCTGTCCTAGATATATATGGTGAAGAAAACCATGCTTACCAAATATGACAGCAGTCTCTCTAAAATGAAACAATCTGGAAAACCATGGCTTAAATAGGGTTTCAGACTCTTAAGAATAAGAAATGGTTACACATTTCTTTTTTTTTCCATCAACATTGGCTGGCATAACAAAATAGAAATGGTTACACATTTCTAATGTGCTGAATTCCAGCTTCCCCTAAGGAAATATTTCAAATACTAGAAGCAACTTGGAGACGCATGAACTTATTTGCACAAATTTCAGACACGTGGGAAATTTACAAATATTTGTGCAAAATTGAGTAACATTTAAGAAACTGATCTCCAAACACTACTCACCACTTCTTGGAGTAATTTTCTACCAAAGCTTCTGCTGAGGCCCTTTCACTTAAAAGCTGCTGGCAGATGAACTATGCATCTGGCGACAGAGAACAGGATTTTCTGTTCTGTACTGACTCCTCAGGGAAGATTCTCAAGGTTGAGCTGCAAGCTGTATGCCCTCGAACTTGCTTCTGATGTCTCTGCAGAATAGGTTCACAGCTATGAACAAGCATGAGTTTAGTTCAATCATAAATAGACACACACAAAATCCGGACAAATAATTGCCCTAAGCCATCTTCAGTGCACTGCAGACTTAGTCTACATTTTTAGAACATGTCTAGAAAATGTTAAGTAAAAAAAAATCCTCATTCACAAAGATGTTTCAGAGGCCAAAACATGTAGATGACAAATCCAAATTTCAACACCTCCATCATCTTTTTTTTCTTTGCTACTCCCCACCCTGTTACCTACTTCTCCCCACTGTATTCCCATCCTCTTTTCCCCATCATCTCCTTTTCATTCTCTCTCCCCAAGTTCGTCCTTCCATCCCCTCTCCCTACCCCTTTTCCCCACCCTCTCTTCCCACCAATTTCTTCCAGGCCCTCCTCCTCCAACAACATTTTTTTTTTCCCTGAGATGGAGTCTCACTGTGTCACTCAGGCTGGAGTTTGTTGGCACGATCTCAGCTCACTGCAACCTCCGCCTCCCAGGTTCAAGCAGTTCTCCTGCCTCAGCCTCCCGAGTAGCTGTGATTACAGAAATGCACCACAACACCCAACTACTTTTTTTGTACTTTTAGTAGAGATAGGATTTCACCATATTGGCCAGGCTGGTCTAGAACTCCTGAGCTCAGGTGATCCACCTGCCTTGGCTTCCCGAAGTGTTGGAATTACAGGCATGAGCAAGCAACTGTGTATGGCCGTTTTAAAAAAGCTATTATTACTCTTAACTGAAAAATATTTGGTCAGGCAAGGTGGCTCATGCCTGTAATCCCATCACTTTGGGAGGCTGAGGCAGGCGGATCACAAAGTCAGGAGTTCGAGACCAGCCTGGCCAATATGGTGAAACCCGGTCTGTACTAAAAATATAAAAATTAGCCTGGTATGGTGGTGGGCACCTGTAGTCCCAGCTACTTGGGAGGCTGAGGCAGGAGAATCATTTGAACCTGGGAAAACAGAGGTTACAGTGAGCTGAGATCATGCCATTGCACTCCAGCCTGGGCAACAGAGTGATACTCCATCTCAAAAGAAAAAAAATTCATAGAAGACTTTCACAGCACTTTGGGAGGCCAAGGCAGGAGGATCATTTGAACCCAGGAGTTGGAGACTACAATGAGCTATCATCACATCACTGCACGCCAGCCTACATTACCTTAAAACTTGATATTTTGAGTTACTTAAGTTGTAAGTTGCTTCAGTATTGATCTGTATTCTTTCATATTTTTATTTTTATTCTATTATTTCTTTTTTTACAGACAGGGTATCATTCTGTTGCCCAGGCTGGAGTGCAGTGGCACAGTCATAAATCACTGCAGCCTTGAACTCCAGGGCTCAAGCAATCTTTCACCTTAGCCTCCTAATTAGCTAGAACTACAAGTGTGTGCCACCACACCTGGCTAATTAAAAATTTTTTTTTGTAGAGATATGGTCTTGCTATGTTGCCCAGACTGGTCTCGAACTCCTGGCTTCAAGTGATCCTCCTGCCTCAGCCTCCCAAAGTGCTAGGATTACGGGTCCTTGTTTTGTTTTGTTTTGTTTTTTTGAGACAGAGTCTCGCTGTTGTTACCCAGACTGGAGTGCAATGGCACCATCTCGGCTCACCACAACCTCTGCCTCCTGGGTTCAAGCAATTCTCCTGCCTCAGCCTCCTGAGTAGCTGGGGCTACAGGCGCGCACTACCATGCCCAGCTAATTTTTGTGTTTTTGGTAGAGAAGGGGTTTCACCTTGTTGACCAGGATGGTCTCAATCCCTTGACCTCATGATCCACCTGCCTCAGCCTCCCAAAGTGCTGGGATTATAGGCGTGAGCCACCATGCCTGGCCCTTGTTTTGTATTTTAATTGAAATTGAAGTTTAAAATATTTTTTCTTTTTTGAGATGGAGTCTCCCTGTGTTGCCCAGGCTGGAGTGCAGTGGCACAATTTCAGCTCACTGCAGCCTCCACCTCCTGAGTTCAAGTGATTCTCCTGCCTCAGTCTCCAGAGTACCTGGGACTACTCGCCTGGTCTCCTTTTTTTCTTAAGTACAGTTTTTCCTTCCATTTAAAAATACAAGTACAGGCAGATGTGGTGGCTCACACCTGTAATCCCAGTACTTCAGGAGGCTGAGGTGGGTGGATCACTTAAAGTCAGGAGTTCGAGACCAGTGTGACCAACATGGAGAAACCTCATCTCTACTGAAAATACAAAATTAGCTGGGTGTGGTGGCACAGTCCTGTAATCCCAGCTACTCAAGAGGCTGAGGCAGGAGAATCACTTGAACCTGGGAGGCAGAGGTTGTGGTGAGCTGAGATCTCACCATTGTACTCCAGCCTGGGCAACAAGAGGGAAACTCTGTCTCAAGAACAAAACAAATCAAAACAAAACAAATACAAATTTTTACTTATTAAACTTCATGTTTCAGCTTCTTAATTAAAACATGTTAGTCTGAAACAAGATGATTAAAAAATGGGCAAAAGGGGCTGGGCTTGGTGGCTCACGCCGGTAATCCCAGCATGACTGGGAGGTTGAGGCAGGTGGATCACTAGGTCAAGAGATTCAGACCATCCAGGTCAACATGGTGAAACAAAAATTAGCCAGGCGTAGTTGTGTGCGCCTGTAGTCCCAGCTACTCACGCAGAATTGTTTGAAACCGGGAAGTGGAGGTTGCAGTAAGCCGGGATGGCGCCACTGCACTCCAGTCTGGCGAGAGAGCTACAATCTGTCTCAAAAAAAAAAAAAAGGCAAAAGACCTGAGTAGACATTTTTTCAAAAAGGATAAACAAATGGCCAATAAGCACAGGAAAAGCTGCTCAATATCACTAATCGTTAGGGAAACGCAAACCAAAACCACAATGAGATACTTTTTCTCACCCAGTAAGATGCTTGCTATCAAAACATAGACAATAATGCATGTAGGCAAAGAGGTAGAGAAATTGGAGCCCTCGTGCACTGCTGTAGAAAACAACAGGGCAGTGCCTCAGAACATTAAACAGAGAATTACCCTATGATAGAATCCAGCAAGTCCCCTTCTGGGTACAGAAAAGAATAAAAAACTGAGACTTGGCCGGGCGCGGTGGCTCAGGCCTATAATCCCAGAATTTTTGGAGGCGAGTGGATCACCTGAGGTCAAAAGTTGGAGACCAGCCTGACCAACATGATGAAACCCTGTCTCTACTAAAACAAAACCAAACAAAACAAAATTAGCTGGGTGTGGTGGTGCATGCCTGTAATCCCAGCTACTTGGGAGACTGTGGCAGGAGAATCGCTTGAACCCGAGAGGGAGAGGTTGAAGTGAGCTGAGATTGAGCCATTGCACTCCAGCCTGGGCAACAAGAGTGAAACTCTGTCTTAAAAACAAACAAACACAAAAACAAAAAATGACCTAGACTCAAAGAGATATTTACACATCCATTTTCATAGCAACAGTCTTCACAATAACCAAAAGGTGGGAGGAACCCAGGTGTTCAACAGATGAACGGATTATCGGATTATCCAGCCTTAAAAAGAAGGAAATTCTAAAAACTGCTGCAACATAGATGAAACTTGAGAACGTTTCGCTAAGTAAAATAAACCAGCCTCAAAAAGAAAAGCTGAGTGTAAACTTTGGCCCTTTATAAGGAGAAACATTTAAATAATTAGACTTGACCAAGAACGTCAGGGACCGCTTTGTGAAGTAATGAGTTTGCCATCCCTGGAAGTAATAAAGAAGACCTTAAATGATCATTGGCTTGGAACATTGTGAAAGGAATTCCTGGCTTGAGAGGAATGCTGTCTGTCCATGCTAAAACAAGGTGGTAGATGGCAGGTAAACTGGGGAGGAGGGAGCAGGGGCAGGGCTTGTTTGGAAAGAAAGGAATTGGCCTGGTGTGGTAGCTGACGCTTTTAATCCCAGCACTTTGGGAGCGCAAGGAGGGCGGCTCACGAGATCAGGAGATTGAGACCATCCTGGCATGGTGGAACCCCTTCTCTACTAAAAATACACACACACACACACACACACACACAAATTAGCGGGGTGTGGTGGTGTGCGCCTGTAGTCCCAGCTACTCAGGAGGCTGAGGCAGGAGAATCGCTTGAATCTGGGAGGCAGAGGTTGTGGTGAGCCGAGATTGCACTACAGCACTCCAGCCTGGGTGACAGAGCCAGGCTCTGTCTCAAAAAAAAAAACAAAGAAAGGGAAGGAAGGAAGGAAGAAAAGAGGGAGGGAGAGAAGGAAGGAGGGAGGGACAGAGGGAAGGAAGGAAGGAAAAGAAAGAGAGAGAGAAAGAAAGAAGAAAGAAAAAGAAAGCAAGGAAGGAAGAAAGAGAGAGAAGAAAAAGAAGAAGAAAAGAAAGAAAGAAAGAAAGAAAAGAAAAAGAAAAAAAGAAAGAAAGAAAGATAGAAAGAAACAAAGAAACAAAGAAAGAAAGGAAGGAAGGAAGGAAAGAAAGAAAGAAAAAGAAGGGGCGCCTCGCCTCTCCCGGTCCGTCCACATTGCTGACGCCCCGGGGGCTGGGGGGAGGGAGGGACGGGACAAGAAGCCTGCCCGGCTCGGCTCGGGGTAGGGGCGTCTTCCGAGGAGAGGACGGGGGAAGGGAGACACAAGCCGAGGAGGCCTGGACCGCAGAGTGGGGAGCCTTCCTCCCCCCCACCCCCGCTCCTCCAGTGGGCCTCGGATTTACAGCGGCTGCACCTAACTGGGAGGGTTAGGTGGTTTATTTTATGGATGAGGCTGGTTTATTTTATGGATGGGAAGGTGGATAGTCCGGGTTGTGGGAGCAGGGAGTGCATAAATCGGACGGTGGGCAGTAGGGGACATGGGAGCAGAAAGTGCATGGATGAAAGGGTGGGTATTAGTGGGCTGTAAGAGCAGGGATTGCATGGATAAGCAGCCCTGATGCTGCTCTGACGGTGGGTAGTCAGGGGTTGTGGGAGCAGCGAGTGCATGGATGGGAGGGCCGTTACTCAGGGCCTGTGGGAGTGTGAAGTGCATGGATGGGAGGGTGAGTAGTCAGGCTCTGTGGGGGCAGGGAGTGAATGG